ACAGCGGTGGGGTGGGGCTGGGGACAGGCCTATGTGAGTGGGCCGGGCAACATGCAGATAAGACCCCACTGGGCTCCAGGAGCCGCCCCATTTCCTCCCCCACTTTCTCTGCCTCACCTCCGTGGAAACTCAAACCACCCTTGAATATGCGACCACTTGAGAACTCAGAGGAGGTGGGTTGTGGGCTGCTAGAAGGCTGTCCGTTGGCTATGTTCAGGAGTGGGCGGGGCTGGCTGCTGGCTAGGCGGGCAGAGGCTCCCGCGAGCTTGGTTAGAGCCGTTAGCACCGCACGGCATCGGCATCGGCATCGTGGAAGCCTAAACCAGCCTTCGGTTTCCCACCCAGGCATTTGGAGGAAGGGTGCAGGCAGAGACATGCGAAGGCAGGAATCCTGACGCCCACAAGCACGGAGCCACTCGCAAGCCTGAGCTGAAGGTTGACTATTCTCCTAAGGGGACCCCCCTCTGCCCCGAAAGTCATCTGGGGGACGCAGCGAGTGTATGAGGACCTGTGCCAGCGCGCCACCACGTGTGGATGTTCCTCGCGGGGGCGGGACCTCATACTCCGGTTCCTCTGAGATGGCCGGATCGCCAACTCCAAGCAGCGCGGGAGGCCAGGCTGCGCCACCCTGGAGCCTGGGGAAGGGGCCGCACGCGCTCAAATGCAGCCTAACCAGAGGACGGAGCTGCAGTTTGGCGAGGAGAAGCCAGCCAGGGGGCAAAGCCGAAGGTGCTCAGATAGAATGCCTGGCTCCTGGACCCCCTCGGTGCTCGGTCTGGGAGTCCCTAGTGGACGTCCAGACCCTAGCTGGGCCCTTCTCCAGAATGTCTCAGAAGCCGGTTGCTAAATTTCAGTGCAGAGCTTAGTCCCGGCAAAGTGCACTCTGGCTGGAAACCAGGATTATGGCGTTTCTGCAGAACTACAAGAACCGGAATGCGGCGTACCTGGGCCGCGCACCCCGCGCATTCTAGACGCCCCGATGCACGCCGGGCACTGCAGTCCGCAAGAGTGGGAGAGGCCGGCTGACTGGCAGTCCGGTGCACGCCGGGAGCTGTAGTCCGCAGGAGGGAGCGGCCCCGGGCGTTCCGGCCACCCGATGCACGCCGGGAACTGTAGTCCGCAGCCTCAGGCCCGCCCCTCACCTGGCCAGCCCCGGGCGTCCGTGGTGCCCAATGGGAGCGGCGGCC